TTATAAAAAGATGGACTGAACATGATCGACTCACATCAAAAAGCTCTCAGGCGGGGATTCGAACCCCGGTCGCCTGCGAGTGTTGAAGCCAAGCCCAAGGCTTTGCTGCTTGACAAGCAGGAATCTTGACCGTTGGACCACCTAAGACTGCAAGCGAACCCCAATGCAAGATTATGGACTCTCTGAATTTCTGTTGACGTACAAGGACGAAATCGCATAGTAGGGTAGGTAAATACATCAACCAGCTCTTGAATTGAGAAGCAATTGTCAGTTCACAATTCATGGGGTGAATATTAGTGGTAAGAACAAAGTAGTCAGATATGGCTCAGCCGCTCAGCGTGTTGCACTTACTTTGCGCCGCTGTCATGATCGGCTTTACTTCCGAATCGAAACCCTCAGTTCTGCGTTTGCTTCGTTCCCCAACAGTCAGCTCTCGAATGATGGGATACTCGTCAAGGTGGGACCAAACTTTGAAACCACCTCCTCCCCACGTCGGTAAGGACGATCTAAAACATAACGCATGCAAGCAAAGCAAAGCTCATCCTTACCCGTTGACTACTTTCTGCCTGCGCTTTCTTGACGTTACACCTGAAAATCATCACAAGAACGGAGAGAGGATTCAGCATTGTCGGAATATCATAAATTGCACACCTCTTCCCGCTCAAATGTCCTGCGCGACGAAGTGGAACCTGCCCAAGTAACGCATCACCGTCGTTCTTACGAGCAAACAACGGATTTGGAACGAAGTCGCACCTATGACAATCACTCTGCGGGAACGGCAACGTTCGAGAGAGCAGATGTGTGTTGGCGCCAACCGTTACATCTTGAGGCCGGCTAGGCTCACCTGGACCGCAGGATGGCAACTCTAGCGCGCGATCCGTCCATCGCTCTCGACATAGAGATGATAAACATTCAGTGGGTTCGCTCTCCGTGCGTACCACCCACTGGCCGATCGTTTTTGTTCTTCCATTAGCGTCAACGAAGTGCAAGCCCGCAGCGCTCTGTAAGCTACTTTCCTCAGAGCTCGGGGCTTCAAAAGTAACTATACGAATTCGCAGCGCCACCACGCTCGGTCTTCAGGCCACGGCAGAAGCAGGAGCCGAAGCTCAGAGAGCTATCTCCCTCGGGACCACTCCATTGTGCGACGCCATCTTTCCCAGCCTATCTCCTCTGACCTCGCAAGGTGCTGTCACGCAACCCAACAACCTATCCGACTCATCTAGGATCGTGACTCATACCGGGATAAACGCGACCACGACCGTTCTAAACGCAGAGACCACAAGCGCAGAGACAAGGATGAAGATGGTTCCGACGAGGATCGCAAGCGTCGTAAACGGAGGAAGGAGCGGGAACGAGCTAAGGATGGCGACAAAGAAGAGAGAAGGAGCGCTCTGACTGGCAAGAAGGTCGGTCATTTCCGTTCCATGCTGGTCGTCCTGCGATTCTATGCTGATGCTTGAGGCTCTCACAGATCAAGCTCAAAGTGAAGAAGGAAAAGGTGACGACGAACGCGATGCAAACCGCAAGGACTTGCTCAACTTCCTTAATGCTATGTAGCTTGCTCTCGTTATAAGTAATACTGGGAATATCTATGCTGACAGGATTCCCACTCCTTATGACGAAACTACTCTGAGGCGCGATCAAGGAAGTGACCCAACATCACCAAAGTGACCAAAGTTTGACCACTTGCCGTGACGACGCGCTTCAAGGCGGACGGTCGCTACTTTCACGCGTTTTCTGGGCCGTTGCCCATCTTCTCTCTCCTCCATCATGGACTCCGATCTCATCAAGCTCGTGAACAAGCTCCAGGACACATTCAGCAACCTGGGTATGCTCAGCCACTCGCTTGCCTCACTGTGGAGCATTGAACATTTTACGCGTAGGGGTGAGCTGGACATGCCCCAGCTCGTCGTTGTGAGTGCAAACTGACATAGGAGTCGTTTCGGCTTTCTCATTTGGAGGACAGGTGGGCAGTCAATCGGCGGGAAAGTCTAGCGTACTCGAGACGTGTGTGGTTCTCTTTCCCGCTTTGTCCCGCCTTTCGCTTACCTTTGCTAGTATCGTCGGGCGAGATTTCCTTCCTCGTGGTCAGGCATTGTTACACGGCGACCTCTCGTTCTTCAGTTGATCCACCGACCCGAATCCACCGACCCCTCCCCCAGCAGCCCGACATTTCGCGAATGGGGCCAGTTTCTTCACATCGACAAGAAGTTTACCGACTTCAATGAGATTCGGAAAGAGATTGAGCAGGAGACTTTGCGGGTGGCGGGCTTGAATAAGGGGGTCAGCAAGTTGCCAATATCGCTCCGCATTTACAGCCCGGACGTGCTGGACCTGACTCTGGTTGATTTGCCCGGGCTGACGAAAGTGAGTCTTTGTGCCTTTTTCATACAGTTCAAGTTCTTCATGACGCGTCGGAAGATTCCTGTCGGTGACCAGCCGAGCGACATCGAGCGACAAATTCGCAACCTGGTATTAGAATACATTTCGAAGCCGAATAGGTACCGCTGTCCATTTTTCAAGAGATGCAACGGCTCGAATGACTTTCCAGTGTCATTCTGTCCGTCTCTCCTGCCAATGTGGATCTCGCCAACTCAGAGTCGCTCAAGCTCGCACGTCAAGTTGACCCCCAAGGAAGGAGGACGATCGGAGTACTGACGAAGCTCGACCTGATGGACGCTGGGACAAATGCGCTCGATATTCTGACGGGGCGTGTCTACCCTTTGAAGCTCGGGTTCATCGGGATCGTGAACAGGAGTCAGCAAGACATCAACTCGGAGAAAAGTATGGGTGACGCGCTAAACAGCGAGTCCGAGTTCTTCAAGAGCCACCCTGCATACCGGAACGTGGCACACAAGAATGGGACGAAGTATCTGGCGAAGTCTCTCAACCAGGTCTGCCTTTCCGCGTCACATTATACTCTCCACATTAACAAGGCACCATTCAGGTCTTGATGAATCATATACGAGACAAGCTTCCGGATATGAAAGCGCGTCTCAACACGTTAATGGGACAGGCACAACAAGAGCTTAATTCGTTCGGGGACTCGGAGAGTTTCGGGGATCAAACCAAGTCTGTTGTCTATGATCGCTGCTTGATATCTGCTGATAGTGTCTACTGCAGCAAGGCGCTCTTATTCTTCGTCTCATGACCCAGTTTGCGCGAGACTTTGTCGCCTCAATTGAGGGCACAAAAGTAGATGTGTCGACGAAGGAGCTATCAGGCGGCGCGAGGATTTATTACATCTTCAATGACGTCTTTGGCAGCGCCTTGGACTCGATCGACGCCACTCAGAATCTTGAGAATCAGGACATCCGAACGGCCATCCGGAACTCAACTGGGCCTCGCCCTAGTCTCTTTGTGCCGGAGATCGCGTTCGACCTGCTCGTCAAGCCTCAGATCAAGCTCCTCGAGATGCCCAGTTTGCGCTGCGTCGAGCTTGTTTATGAAGAATTGGTGAAGATTTGTCATAACTGCACCAACTCCGTGAGTTCTTCACTAAATTGGCTCGCATCTACTCAGATGTACTAGGAGCTGCAACGATTCCCCGGTCTTCATGCCAAATTGATTGAAGTAGTCTCTGAGCTCCTTCGAGAAAGACTTGGACCGACGTCAGAGTACACGGAGAGTCTCATCGCGATCCAGGCGGCATACATCAACACCAACCATCCGGCGTTTATCTCTGGATCGGCCGCTGCTGCCCAACAAGCCAGTTCGCCACCTGCACCCCAGATGCCATTACGAGTGAGTGATGCACCTATGTCAAACGTATGACCGTCTCTGAAGTCACCCAGCCGACTTCGACCGAACCCACGAATGGGACAGGGACGGAGGATGACGATGTGGATTCATCGGACGAAAATGGACTACCTAATGGCATGTTCCCTCCACGACAGACGGACCGGTCTGTGTCAGCGTCTCTGCCAGACCGCACTCGCGCGTCAACCGGGTCAGCGCCCGCGACTTTGACCTCGAGGAAAATCGCACAGCCCCGGCCGCAGTCTGCCATGAGCGCCATGACGCATCGGGGGTCGCCTCCTTCGGCTCGGGAGGCGTTTTTGAACTACTTCTTTGGGCAGAATGGGCCGGGGCCGCTTTCTGGTTCGGCGGTTGGCAGCAATCCGGCAAAACCTGTCGGCCGGGATCTTTCCGGTGGGGAGGTGTCGACGATGGCGATGGCCTCTGGACTGATGTCGGGCCAACGGGTGGACGGCCAGAATGCTGCGTTTGACATGAAGAGCTTGGGCAAGCACATCGAAGCGGTGCCGTTTGAGGGCAACCAGCTGACGATGCGAGAAGAGATGGAGACCTCGCTGATTCGTTCTCTGATCACCTCCTACTTTGGCATTGTCCGCCAGACGATCCAGGATCTAGTGCCGAAGGCGATTATGCACTTGCTGGTCAACCACACTTCGAACCACGTACAGAACCGATTGGTGGCGTCGCTGTACAAGCCGGAGCTATTCCAGGAGATGCTGCATGAGGATGAGGGGCTGGTTGCGGAGAGGACTCGGGTCAAAGCGCTGCTGGACGCGTACAAGGAGGCTTTCAAGACTCTTTCGGATGTGAATGTAAAACCGACATAGACAGACAATCTTTTACGAGTCACGTATTCGATGGTGATAGAGAGCGGGCGGCGAAAGCCACGCAGAAAGATGCCATTCCGTCTAACGTATCAACAAGCACAGAGTAACTAACGACCGAACACACAGACACACACACACAATCGAGAACCAGTAGATGCGTGGAGAGACAGATTCAGCGGCGGGATCCCATTTCGGGAAGCGGAGCATGGAGCAAACAGCCATTCCAGTCCAGAGCAAGCGCGCATATTCACATGCATTTAAGGACCGGAGGGCTCTTCGCTCGGCTCGACGTCGCTGACTGCTTCAGTCTGCGATTCCGCTGCCGCTGTCGATAGGGGCTGAGGCTTGACCGCAACCCATTTCTCCTTCTTGGGGGTGTCATCCGTCTCTTCCTCAGAAGCGACGGATTCCGTGTCAGCCTCGGCCCCGCTTGAGCTTTCCGTCGCGGATTCACTGCTCGTAGCGGTGGAGGTTTGCTCAGCCGCGGAGGTTTCCCCGAGTTTCTTGGCAGCGGCGGCCGCCTTCTTAGCCTTTTCCTTGCGCTCAAGTTTCTGGAAGAGAGGTCACGATCCACGGCGATGGGTGACAGGCCATATAAACTCACCTCCTTGGTCTCCCTCTCCTCCTTCTGAGCGTGGTTGTCAGCAGATAAGACACGTCTGCAATCGGATAAACGCACCTCCTTGGCTTCCTTTTCCTCCTTCTGCGAACGATGTAAGCCAAAAAGATAAGCAGGCAAAGATCACTCACTTCTTTTTTCTCCCTCTCCTCGGCTTCCTTCTTCTCCTTGGCTTCGCGCTAAGGAAGGGGAGTCAGTCATGGTCAACCACACACACAGAAGCTGCAGGAAAAGAGACCTCGGCTTTCTCCTTCTTGAGCTTTTCGCGAGTTTCGCGCTCGGAGATGACCCACTCGGCGACCTCGTCGACGCATTCGCGGGGACGGGTCTTGTTCTTGAGCAGGTATCCTTGAAGACCGGCGACCTGTCCCAGCATCAGCATCATGCAACAGCACCCGGGGACAACAGCATGCGCACACTCAGTTCGTCTTCGGGGATGGCGGCTGCGAATCGCTTGGCAAGTTCAACAATCTCAGCTTCACTTAGAATGGGAACGGCGTGCTTGAACGCCTTGCGCTTCGGCACAGGCAGGTTCTTCTGCGACGCGTCTTTCTCCGCGTCGGCCTCCTCGGCGGGCGGCGCTTTGGCTGAGTGAGGGAAGAAGCACTTGAAAATGCCCTCGGCCTGCCACTTGGTGGCGTGAGTGAAATTGACCCACACATCCATCCGCCCGGGCCGGCTCAACGCGGGGTCGAGACGCTCGATGTGGTTCGTCGTGGCAAACAGCAACCGACCCTCGGCAGCAGCGACTCCGTCCAGACTGTTCAGAACTGCGATAGGATGAGGTCCCGACGATCAATCTGGGTCGCGTGCGAGACACTTACGTCCGCTCAGACTCAGAGTCGAGCCGTCAGACTCAGCCGGCGGAGTCGCGCTGCCGCCCGCGGTGGTGGTTGTGGATGTCGAAGTTGGCGTTCCGTTAGACGAAGAATCACGGCTCACCGAGCGCGTAAACGCGGCATCGAGATCCTCAAGCAGAAGAATGCACCTCCAATGCCGTCAGTTCAGAAGTCCGCGCGCATATTGCTGAGAATGACTCACCTGGATGGAACATGGCCCATCAAAGTAGTCAATGTGTTATCACTCATGCTATGCATTCATTTCCGTAAGAATCAATAAGAAGCAGACAGCGGTGAGCGCTTACCCCTTGGAAGAGAGAGAGACGACATAGATATCTAAACCTAGTTCACCAGCCAACGAATGAATAAGGGAAGTCTTGCCGCTGAGAGAGAGGAAGGTTAGGCGACAGTCCATGGATATTAGAAGCTCGGGCGCACCTTCCGGGTACACCGTGCAGCAGATAGCCGCGGCGGAAAGGAATGCCTAGTGGATCCCTGTCAAGGCATGTCCGCAAATGAACTCATCTCACTCGCCTCGCTCCGCATACCACTCCTCCGAGCACAAAAAGTCCTTGCAGTCCGCCAGCAGCATCTCCTTCACTCCCGGCTCCAGGACGATAGATGTCATCGGCCGCTTTTGCCGAGCGCCGTTCCAACGCCAGCAACTGTACGTGCTAGGGACCCCCGTTCAGGCGGCGGTGTTCGGATATCAAGGATGGCAATCACGTACGTGTCGGCCATGAAGATATGGACCCGGTGCTCGGCGTCTTTCTCGTACTCCCGCTTCGCCTCGAGGACGAGCTTCTTCAGGATATCATTGTTGCGCGCAACGACGCTGATGAAGACAGGAAGGAATGAGCCAGTGGGATGCGTTCGGAACACCGGAGCGCGCACCTGACTTTCAAAGCGGCGCCGTGTCCGTAATCCGGGTAACGCTGTGTACGCGTTATCTGCGGCGGTGATTAGCCCGTGTTGGCCGAATAAAACGGCGCCACAATACCCTGAGCCAGTGGCCGCGCTAGAAACGGAGATGGAGGGTCAGCCATCTTGGAGCGCACTCCGAGGGTGAGAACGCACGTAGTAGATCGTATGAGTCGTGTCTTATGGTGCGGTGCGTCCATAAATTAATTGCGCGTTGACAGGAATGGAAGCAAATGGAGGGTGAGCCGGCGGGTGGGGAGGACACGAAATCAGAATTTGTCAGGCAGCTTGGGCTTGTTTGGACTCACCGACGCTGGGCATGAACGCCACCTTGCGTTTCCTGCGTCCATGGACGAGGTCGTTATCGTCCTCGCACTCGTCGTCCTCCTCCACATCTCCCGTCGTCGGCTCGCTCATGCCCGTGCGGTTCACACTGCGCGTCGTAATCTCGAATTCGCGGCTGCGACCCCAGGCGGGTTGCTGACAAGCTGTCAATATATGCAAAATGACCACTTAGCGACGCTCGCGGACCTTGGACAGCCAATGCATAAGCCTGGGTGAGGGTATAAGCGACACAGATGTAAGGATGGCAGTGGGGAGGGATACGCACCAGTCATAAGGGTAGTCGTCCTCGCTGAAGTGCGCGGTGAGGAAGAAGGCTTGACACGGGTGACGTTCAGGGACAAGACGTGCGAGCAGAAGGGTGTACGCACAGTCAACGAACCCGTTCCAAGCCGACATGGACACGCGTCGCGCGGTCTCTACAGTGCCTCCGATGACCACCAGTTTCTGTGTGTGGACGGTGAGCAGTAGTTGTGGGGGCATGTGGGTCCAGCGGGGGACGGACCATTGTATCCTGGATAGCGCCAGTGCTCATGCCCAAGGGCGACAACACGTTTGAAAGGTAGTTCATGATGAAGGGAGAACGGGAGAGAAGGGCGAGCCAGGAATAGGCGACCGAATGATTTTGTCTTAAATGGTCCTCGGGTGCCGCCTCGTGGTTTCTAACGCCCAGGGTTGCTTGTCCGCCAGCACGAATCGGGGATATTTAGACAGACGATCATGAATCTGAGATTGCATGACTCGCTTGACTTGCAGCACGGGCTCAGCAGGCCCTTTGGCCGCTTGCCCTCTTATTACGCCGCCTGCTTGTTTTTTTACGTGCTGTTGTGCTAAGCCCCGCGTTCACTGGCGAAATACATTCGCCCTCTCCGGCCCAGTCTCAATTTCCTCGGACGGAGACTAAGCGGTTCTAGTCTACGTGGGAATGGCATATTGGCCTTCGGACGTTCAACAACTCGGGAGTGCAGATTGATGGTGAAGCATTGACGGGGTGTTTCCCGGTATGCCAGTGGATCAAACGCCAGTCGGAACGGGCTCCGGAAGCAAACATGCAGTGACATGGAGACAGGGAGGGGCAAACGCAGTCGAGATTGACCAGAGACATACTCGCGAACGCTGTGGCACTCGTATGCGATCAAGTCAAATCTCAATCACGACGCCATGCTCCGGGATCACGGCGCCATCACCAACAACGATGGCATCGGCTGGCCCAGATCTCGCGTACGAACACTCCCGCGCCCTGATACCGTCTTTGCCCACAGTCCTGCAGAACCCAGGTCAGATCCACATGGCTGCCATCTGCTCCTCCAGTTCGGACCGAATCCGCACCTCATTATCTGTGAAACAAGCATTGATTGCGAGCTACCCTTCCCATGCGCAAACCCTGACTGGTCTGAGCCCAAAAGACGGCGCAGAGGCAGTGTTCCATCTTTGGACAGGGAGCGTCGAGTCATAGAAAAGCATTCAACAGCTTTCTCATCAATTCAAGATGCTTCATAATCTTCGAAGGCGCTCATAATGATATATACTTGGATCGGGCCGGTCCTCTCCCGACGGCTTACTCCGTTCGAAATCGAGGGTGCGCTCTTCAGGGTGTGCCCAGAACAAAACATGAGGTAGAATGAAGCGCCACCGATGAGAACGAGGGACCGTTTCGGGCGGTACCGAAGGCGAGACACAGCTCCAGTCATACAGAAGCGACACAGCAAGAACATAGAAGAAGGCTGCCTGACAGTTCTCGAGCGAACCCCACTTTCCAGACCATCCGCACTGGATCGGGAAACAAGAGTGTCATTTGCGAGTCTACAGAGGCCGCAGCCGCAGCCTCACCGCCAACTTCGTCCTATTTCCTGGATCTCGGTGGCGATCACCATCTGAAACTTCCATTAAACCCTGCTTTGTTATTACGGTGTGTCAGGAGACTCGTGGCAGCAGAATCAGGTGCGGGAGAATCGCGGCTCCCCACCTACTAAAGGGTGGTTGGATCAGCACCACTCGCCAGAATAGCATGAGCTGCGATGCTCCTCGGAGGACAGCAGACGCGTTGTCAGTGAGTCAGTCAGATGCGGTGACACCAACGCTGCGATCCCTATCATACACCTTTGGAACCGTGGCGCACCGGATCGATACAACTGATGTCTTTCTTTGAGAGCTGCGTGCGACAGCCGCGTGCTGGAGTTTAATTCCTCTCCGCAAGTCCGCCCTCTCCCGCTGCCGGGAAAAGATCCCGGGATCAGGGCGAAACGCCGCATGCCGGTGAAGAGGGGCGCGACGGGCAGATAGATCAACGGCGAGGCGACGCGTGCGCGATAGATGAATCAGCCTA